CCCACACTCTTGCAATATTCTAAACAATGTTTCTAAACTCTAAATGCTCTAAAAGATCACAGAATGTTATGACTTCAGCTCCCTGCCTCCTCTGCTCTTTGCCACCTGCAAGCGTTCTTGGCCACGCCCACTTATCCACTATGCACGGTGAACAGCTGCAGCAGGAAGTTTATCCTGCAGTAAGGGCTGCACAAATGTGCAGCAGGTGCGAAATAATTTAAAATAATTTATTTAAATAAAAATTCCATGCCGATCATGCTACTCACCCATCAATCAGCCAATTGTGTGCCATGTCTAATCTTATTTTGAAAAACCGCGATAGGGCGAGTCCGCGATAAATGAACCGTGAAGTAGCGAGGGACTACTGTACACTAAGATATACGCTAAACGAACGCCAAACAGTACGCTGTAAGATCTACGCCAAACACTAACAATGTAAAACAATATGGCATGTCAACAGCAGCCCAAACATGAGTCTGTGGTGGGCAGATAGGTATGAATGAATGAATGTTTGAAAACACTCACTTTAGGATCTGTTTTATCATGAACCTTTACTAGCAGTATTTCATTCTATAAGTGGTTGCTTGAAAATTGTAATAGAACATGTTTTTTTTTCCCCATCCAATCAAAGAGAAGAAAACTGGGAGCAGTTTCCTTACACTTTATGGTCTTCAACAGCACTCCAGTTAAAGACTAAAGAAAAGCTCCAGGATGTAACTAACACAACCTGTTAGTATTTTCTTACTGTTTTTAAAATTCCCTCTCCTTTTTCCACTGCTCTGTTTCTTTCTTCTTGCTCAGAGTAAAACAGGAGCTCTGGAGGGTACTGAAGTTGATGGCTTTATCAAAGACATGATGGGCCTGGTCAGGGTAAGATTCTTTCTGTCATTTTTTTTTCTCACTGTAAACTTCAGATGATACTGTCCTTGTCTAAAAGTTTTTTTTTTTTTTTTATCAAAAATATATCATTGCTATACTTCCATCAGGCAAGTGTGAAGCTTGGGGTTTTCTCAATGGATCTAACTAAGTGCTTTTTGTACTGTGCATTGGATACTTTTAATGATTGAACTTTTTTTTTTTTCACAACTTACACAATATGCTAATTTGTTAGAGCCCTTTATTTTTCTTTCTTACAACAATACATAGTAAAATATTTTGGCAACAGGTCACTCATTATCAGAAAACACACACACACACCGATCATAGACATTGTCTTGAATCATTGCTTCACCTTTAAACAGGTTTGTGTAAGTTTCAAACGTCATTTTTTCTGACTTCCTGTTTCATTTAGCTGTGTTGCAACTCTAATGCTAGCCTGTATGAAACACTGACCGGAACATCAAAGGGAATTTGGGTTCGAGTTCTGTTATTTATTTGTATCCTTCTTCGTAAGCATTCTAGTAATAAAACATTTGTTTCAGCATGTAGAAATTGTCTGATTATTTTTTAAATTTAAAGTTTTTGGGTGTAAATTGTTGCTATACCCCTAAGTCACCACCAGTGGGGGCTGCATCCCCCAGCAGAACTTCATTTTGAAGCTAATGTCTGACAGCAGTTTTGCAAAACAACCAAAGCAGGAACAGAATTTGGTTTTAAATGCGAATAATGTGGTCATGTTGCACATTTCTGTGAGTGCTTTATTTTGGCTTAAGAGTAACTGCTGTTAAACAATCTGCACTACCGTATTTTCCGCCGTACACATCGCTTTGCCGTATAAGTTTCATCTATTATGCGTCACTGCTGATGCGTCACGATTGTAACACGTCACCGCTGACCACCCGGAAACGTGGGCAGGTGTTGTGCCAAAAATTGATTGGCTGCCAAATGGCGGCCGCGGGAGCGTGCACATGAGGACTTACAAGAATTTAACAAGATTAACACTTAAAAACAATTATATGTTTGCTCAAAATTATAGAAAAGGTGTGTCTCAGTTGAACTTTTTCTTAATAAATGCACTTTGACGGTCAAATCATCTGTATTTCAAAAGCCGATACGCGGAAGCGGGTGCGCGCAGAGGGACGACTCGCTGTGCATTTCTTCAAAATTGAACAAGATAACCACCTAAAACAATTATTTGTTTGCTCGACATTATAGCAAAGGTGTGTCTCAGTTGAACTTTTAATAAATGCATTTTAATGGTAAAATCAGCTGTATTTCACCCGGGCGGTGCAGTGAAATGCAGCTGATTTGACATTTGTTCCAGGAGTTCCGGAGCGAGAGAAGGTGGCTGTGTATGGCAAGCCAAGTGTCTCGTTAATAGCCACTTTTACCTATTAATGAGACGTTTGGCTTGCCATATTGGTCGAGGACCCTCTAGTGGATGAAAATTGTAGTGTTCAATATTTTTCATGTCAGAATGAATGAAATTGTCAGATCTCAGCCAAAAATTGGGTTATATATATGGAAAAAAACATAAATGTGCCACTTTGCTGTAAAAGTCGCAGGCATGCTAATTTATGCAAAAAACTGTGACATATACGCTGGAAAATACGGTACATTACTATATAATTGTAAATATATTTAATATATACTGTATACTTTATTGTTCAATATGAATGTTTTCCTGTTGTGAAAAATTTCTGTCCTTTGTAATGGAAACACATGACAGTTACAAGCGCTGTGTGTGTGGTGAAAATCATTCATTCTTGCACTTTTTTACAGAGAATATCTGCTTTTATTTTACGCTTAAAACAAAAATCACTAGAAAATAAAGTGTTCTTTGTTCATAATCACTCCATTCCAACATTTTTCAGTCAGGTCATCTGGACAGTTTCTTTTTTTGTGCTGAAACGGTTCGCCTTCGATCCAGAAGGCTTCATCAGTCAAGGAAACACACAACAAAACTGATTCTTCCCCCAACAGTTTACTCCAAAGTGGAACAAACCAGTTATGTTGGTGCTAAGATGATCTCTTTGGTACGCCCCCTCCTCCATGGCCGGCCCTCTTTCTTGTTGACTGTCGTGTCAAACTGGTTGAAAACAACAAAGCCCATGCTCAGTAATCCAGGTCTACAATCCAACATTTTTCAGTCAGGTCTTCCGGATCGAAGGCAAAACATTTCAACACAAAAAAAGAAACTGTCCAGATGACCTGACTGAAAAATGTTGGATTGTATACCTGGATTATTGAGCATGGACTTTGTTGTTAATCACTCCATTCCTTTTAAAATGGGAGATTTTTCTCATGCTCATACCCTGCTGCACATTTATCTGTATGCGTGGAAAGGACTTAAAGTTTTGGTTAGAGACAGTGACACGTTTTCTTGCAGTATAATTTACAGTTATTAAACTTTAAAAGCACATTTAAATCTCATTATTAAAAGAGGTGGAATCCACATGCTCGGCAAACTTCCAAACAATGCTGATCCTGCTGTCAAACAGGAGGAATCCAAGGAAAAGAAACCTCCAAAAGTATCTGCAGTCCAAACATAAATTTAGTTTTGTAATTTCTTTAAAAATTAGACGTTTTTATTAAGATATTTTTTGTTAAGTTGGTGTTTACCAGCTGTGAATTCAAAAGCCTGACTTTCAAATATATGTGCAATAATAGATTTGTTCTAGACCTATACACTTATTTCTTTTGTCACTCACCTTCACCGCACAGACTTCCACTTAATTAACAAAGTCCACAAATGAGACATAATACTGGGAAAACCGCATGCCTAAATCTTTAGGCTGCTTTATGTAAGACTAAAAACGTTTGCGTTTGTCTATTATCATCCATCCATTTTCTTTGCCCGCTTCTCCTTTTTGGGTCACTGAGGCAGCTGATGTCCAGCAAGAGTCACTGTGCAAGAGGCGACATGCTTACATGTTAATGATAACACAATTACTAAACCACTTCCTGTTATTCACCTTGCACATCGTCTTTTCTCCTCTCCAGCCAAATATCACGGGTCCGGACCTGGACAAGCTGCGTACTATTCTGCTGAGTCACTGCGATGTCAACAAGGATGGAAAAATCCAGAAAAATGAGTTGGCTCTGTGTCTGGGAGTCAAGATGAAACTTTAGAGCCCATATAGTGTGTTACTATCAGCGTGTGTCGTTTGGTCAATGATATATGTCATGTTTTCATCCAGATTAGCCTGACTGCTGAATATTTATGGTAAATACAGTGTGTTAGCAAAAAGAAAACGGGTGGTGAAAGTAATTAAACTTTACGTCTTTCTCACCTGCAATCAGTTTCTTGAGCACAATTTAAACAGAAAAGTGAATTATGTATTTAAAATTTCTCTTTGAAGATGTCTGAAGTAAAATGTGTGTAAAAAAAAAAAAGAGGTGCATTGAAAAGCATGTTTTCCTGTTCAAAAAGGACAGTTTGCTGTGTACTGGACTATACAATAACGGATCATTAAAAAAATAAACAGTAACACATGATGGCATGTTAATGTGATTTTTTTTTTAAATCTTCTTTTAATGTTTACAATTAATGATTTTGACATAACTTCATATCTTAGATTGATTAAAGACAATAAAAGGAAAAAAAGCTACTGAAAGTAAAACCATGTGTTAGTTCCCGGCTCGCCTTGGACACAACATAAATGACATGACAAAAGTTTGTGTAAAAAAAAAAAAAAAAAAAAAATTATAAATGACAATTTATTTTGGCTGAGTTTTTAAAATACCAAACAAACACAGCGATAGCTGGCGTTCTTCACGCAGATGAACTAAAAACAAGAATACCTTTTTATTCTGAAAAAATGACCCAACTACCTGAAAACAAAGATGAAAATTCAAAACCAAACAAAACACGCAACCCCAACTAGCAATGACCAAACTAACACAAATGGCTCCACAATGAGAATGAAATCTCCAAACAAACTAATGTGTCTTAGCTACAAAGGTCACAGTCTATAGAGTTGCACTTGTGTCAAAAAAAATCCGGCCCCAGCCCGCAGCCATCATCTCTGAACCCTACCTGATCCGATGAATTAACAGTAATTACAGGTCCCAAGCCCATCTGGCCAGGCAGCGCGCAGTCAAATGGCCGCGTGCAGCTGGTGAAAGTATGGCAAGCTATGTTGGCATATAATTGGATCGTCAGCCACTCGCGTCCCTGACTCAATCAAAAGCCTGACACCGACAAGGCCCGCACATTAAGCACATTATTATGGCCCGGCCCGGGTCAAGTGGGGCTGAGCTTGGGTTCGGGTTAGAAATGACAGCTCTAACAGTCTATCAGAACCAATAAGACAAAGCAAGACACAGTTTGAAACCACAATTTGGCTGCACCACCAAAGATTGGCATACTGCACACTCAGCACAGCAGCATTGACTGAAGGGCAGAGGTGGCTTTTATGATCTTCTTCCTCCTTCTGGCCTCCTCATTGGCAGTCGCTGGTGGATGGGCGGTGCTGTCCAAACCTCCTCTGGCCAATCATCTTTGGACAGGTAAGCCTTGAAGCCTTGGTCAGAGTCCACAAGTAGAGGGAGGCAGCGAGCCAGCAGCAACCAGGCAGTACAGAAAAGAAAACTACAAAAGAAGAAAGGCAGTACAGGCCTGTAAGTAAAAATTCTCTAGAAAAATTGAATAATTTTATTTATTTTAAAAGCAAGTGTTTTATTCCATTAAATTGTTGCAAAGAAAGCATTTCAGTAGCTCAGCTGGTACAGCTGTTGCCTCTCAGCAAGAGGGTTGATGGATTGAATCCCAGCAAGGGATCATTCTGAGTGGAGTTTACATGTTCTCTCCGTGCATGCATGTTTTGTGCAAGTTTTCCCAATTTCCTCCAACAGATCAAAAACATGCATATTGGGTTAATTGGCACTTACTGTATATATGAATGTTTGTTTGTCTTTTAGTACACTGGCAAAAAGACAAAATTGTATCAAAAAAGGAACAAAAAAAATGTTGTTTGTTTAATGTTGTCACTAAAAAAATGTTGGTATTGGTGCTGATTGACCCAAAGTATTGCGAAAAATGTATATGATGGCCATTTCAGTTTGGTAGCTTAAAGCTGTTAGTCATAATTTTTATTTTTCAAGGAGCAGTGAATAAAGGATAATAGGAATGCAGTAAAATGTGCTGAGAATCGATTAAAACATTCTGCACCACGTGCATAGTTAACGTTTCGGTGCAGAATATAAATTTAATAGCTTATAGCATATTACCATAAATACGATAAAAAGTGACAAAATCCTGGGCCCCGTTTTAGACTTAAAGATGTACATTTTTACTTTTCACTTCACCAGATCTGTCTAGCTCTGCACATATTGCACACAAGGATTATGCAGAACCTTCCTGCTAAACATTACAATGCATACTGGGTGTGTCAGATATGTTATTTTTTTCCCTGAACCAATTTTAGTACCCCAACCCACTAATGTAATAAATGGAGTATTCACCTATGAATTTAAAAAAAACAAAGAAATTCTTGAAATAGTATTATTTTGAGCATAATAAATGCTATTTTAAAACATTTCTTAAATTTGTTTAATAAACAAAATTGTTTTTTTTTATATGTACATTATAATAAACACTATGAACTTTAAAGTGAATCAGTGGAAACTGAACATTCTGATCTTCATAGAGAGAAAAGTAGGGACAACTTTTTGTTGGGGACAAATACATTTGTACAACTTTCTGAATTAACACCTTCCAGAAATAAAGGTATATTTATAACCATAAATCCATTATATTTTATCCACTGCTTCCTTTTCAGGTCACAGGGCTCACTGGTGCCCATGTCCAGCTATCACTGGGCAGAGGACACCCTGGACAGGTTTCCAGTCCATCACAGGGACACATAAAGACAAACGAGACAAAAATCATTCACTCTCTCACTCAGAGTTACCAATCAGCCTAACATGTTTTTGGTCTGTGGGAGGAAACCAGAGTACACTGAGAAAATCCACGCACGCACGGAGAGAACATGCAAACTCCACCAGATAGGCCCCCGATCGGGATTTGAACCAGCGACATTCTTGCTGAAATGCAACAGCTCTACCAACTGAGCCACCGTGCTGCCGGCATATTTATAATTTAATGTAAATCTACATTAATGTATCTTGAATAAATAATTTAAATTTTGTATTTATATCTGATCATTATATATTATTTTTTGTAATAATTTATGACCTATATTTAGTTATTTTCATCAATACAACTGTACAGAGAATACAACTAAGTGATGTAAGAATGTAGATGAAAGACATTTTTAAAAAAGCAGTAAAACTTGAAGAGATTTTTAAAAATCTGCAAGTTCCCTTTATTAGAGGCATTTACTTTCCATTAATCAACATAGTACAATGTTTAAATTTACTGTATACTCAAGTATAAATTCAATAGCATGATGATTTATTTATTTATTTGTTGGATAGTTCATATAAAATTGATCACACTTCTGTGCTTGTGGTGAAAGAGGTCTAATGCTCTTTGGCACCCTCTTCTATGTCTGTCTGACTTTCTGTCTACGGTAAACAATACTACTGCTGCACTAGCATTCATGCAATACTTTGTTTTCAGTTTTGCAGCACTGAAACACACAAAAGAAACCGTCTTCTGATAAATCAGCCATGGCACCAAAAAGTGTAAGCTTGACATGAAACACGCATGAAAGCATGAACAAACAAAACAGAATCTCCAGTCACCAACCTTGTAACACCAGTTGATGTTGAATCATGGCAGGTGTTACTTGAAGCTGCCATGGCTATAAATGTTCAACCTTTATTGAAGCATGCTTCATCAGAGACAGACATTTCTGAGAACTACCTTTTATCATGAATGGAAAACCTATGCACCAAATGCCAGGCACCTCAGAGGATGGACAAGAAGCCATGAAAGAAGAATCAGCGAGGTTGCAGAGACAGTCGACGCAGTCGAGGGTATTTGAGGAAAAGTGCATATTTTGTGACAAGGCAAGCAAAAATAAAGAGAACTAAAACAAGAAAAAGATTAAAGAAGGCTTGTGAGCTACATTCAGATGAAAGAGTAAGATTGGTTGCTATGGAAAAAATGGATAAAAGTAGAGATATTATCAATGAAACCAAGAGTACATGGTTAACTTGACTGAAAATTTGGTAAAATATATCAATTAGGACAAACCTATTAAGACACATACAAAGAAAAACATCTGCTGCAAGCTTGAAGCAAAATGTGGTGAGTCTTCACATATTTACTAGAGAGAAGTGGAAACTTTCATTTGTGCCTGATAGTCTCACCATCCAGATTCTTGTTGTAGAGTCCATGACAATACAGAATGAACTGGTGGCTAGTTGAAAGGTACAAAAGACACATTTCATATGCTTGCAAGTGCTGTTCATTTGAGAGAAAATCAAGAAGTCAAAGACAGATCTGCCATGGCCCCCCACCACCTGAGGAGAAGAATCAGAACTTTGCCTCTTTGCCAAAAGCTTTCACAGAGTTCCTGAAGATACTGCTAGTTTGTGATTGACCTGGTAGACTTCCATCATTTCCACTGCAGGCGCTTGTTTCACAGGACCTGATTTATTCAGTAACCTAAATATCTCTGCTAACTGCTAAACTTATTCTCCAGCCAGGGGCAGTAAAAACATTGACAGGTAATGTTGAGCTCATCAAAACACTGAATCAGCTGCGCCATGACATCTCCTATTCAAAACTGACAGAAATGAATTTGTTCTAGACCTTCTTGTAGATGTAAATGCATATGCAAGCCACCAGCATGTGAATGCATTGTAGATAGACTAACATGCTCTGACGCTTGTCATCTGAAAGATTGTTCAAACATGAGTGATGAAGCTGAAGATGAACAGAAACAAGACAATGACACATCTGATGAAGGAAATATAAACAACATAATTAACAAACTAAGTTCAAGAACAGGGGTATGTAGATGAATCTAACAAATATGTCTTGCATCATGTAAAACTAGTAGATTATTGACAGTTTGTTTTAAGCATTTAGGTATAATCTAAAACATTTTATAAAGAAAACCTCGTTTTAAAAGCAGCCATTGTTATGTCTCAAGCATAATTCTAATTGTATATCTAACAAGGTTGAGTCAGGTCTACCTGGATTAATGAGCATGCATCAGGACACTTTAAATAGTATAATTTTCAAAACTGCATGCAACAAAGAAAACCTTTTTTTTTTTTTAGAATTTTGTTTATTCGTTATTTATTATTTATCATAGGTGTTTAAAATACAGTATAGTCAGTTGCAAAATAAGGAAAAGTGCTGAAATACTGTATATAGTACATAGGTGATTTAAAAATTGACACATGGCCATTGGAATGGCCCAATTGGCCAGGTCTCTCTTGTAACTGAGTCCCCGTGGCTCAATGGGATTAACCGGTATAAATAAAAGGTTGAATGAAAAACAAAAATGCTTACAATGAAATAAAAAGGTAAAAATGCATAAGTGTCCACTGCATAAGTAAAAAAAGAAAGTGGTAGTGATAGAATGTAGTATAGTATATTATAGTAAAATACATGTTTTTTTTAAAGGTGTATGTTACATAGTTTAAATTAGGTGTTGTCAAATTGGTCTTTAATTCTTTTTTTCTTTTCTTATTATATTCTCATATAAAGCAAAGGGGAGTGGCGGCACAGAGGTTAGAGAAGGTGGGACTGTGATCGGAAGGTCACCAGTTCAGCTCCCCGGACCGATAACCTCAAAATGTGGGTGGAAAAGGTGAAGCACCCACACCTGCCTCCACCCATTTGACCCACTCTGGTCCCTTGAGCAAGGTCCCCCACCATCAGCTTCCCTTTGTGCCCTAGGATGGCAGCTCTCTGCTCCACACAGTGTAGTGATAGCTCGGTGGTCTGTGGTTGCGTCAGGAAGGACATCCGTCATAAAACAATTGCCACGTCTTCATGCAAGTTCGTTCACTGTGGCAACCCCTGAGGAAGTGGACAGCCAAAAAAATTGATAAAATTGATGGCCATCTTATATTTTCATACACCACAGTTAAATGAAAAGCATTGTTCCAAAGATTTCCCTTTTGTGATACCAGTCAAACTTCTGCCCCTGGCCCAAAGACTATTTATGTGGCCTTGTGATGGAGTTGTGACCTATCCAGGGTGTAGTCTGCCTCATGCATCATGACTGCTGGACATGGGCACCAACAACCCAGAAAGGAAGAAGCAGGTAAAGACAGTGGATAGATGGATGGATGGATGGATGGATGGATGGATGGATGGATGTTGCAGTGAAAATGCATGTAACATATTTACTTGAAACTAGGATACCTGAAACAGCTGTAGCAGTAAGTTGTACTGTACATGATAAGAGAACAAAAGCAAACACTGTTAGGTAAATAGAAAGCTCTTTAGTCACTAAAAGGACCTAATGGAGTGGATCTAAATGCTTTATTGCTCAGACTTTGAGTCACCACAAAGCTGTGTTGCGTGTGCTTTGATATTGTGTCCACCTCTGTGCACAATAAAGCGCCACGACAAACATTTACTGTTTATTTTGGTATAATGCAGTTAGCAAATTTTATTTTTGTGTGCACGTAGTGTCTCAAACATTGTGTGTATTTGTGTGGGAAGAGCTGCTAAGACACATCTGCTCCTAAGCAAATAGTGCCCCACAGTGACTGCTGTAAAAATGAAAGCTGTTTCCAGGTAGAAGTGTGAAAGGTTTTTGCTGCTCCATGTATCCAAGGGCCTGTTTAGTGCCAGTATAAAGGACAAAACTGGTAAATACAACATCAAGGTTGAAGCTATGAACGAAATGTGAATCAGTGGTTTAGTCTGTTTATTTTACTCTTTGAATAAGATTGAAATTATATCATGTTGTCTTATTTCTACTTTTCTGTCCACTGATAGTTTTTACAGCAACATATTTTATTATTTAATAAACGTATTCATGCATACAGTGTAATGTCCTCCTCTCAAGTCCTGAGCCAGACTGTGGGAGTTCCTGTTCCACGTTCTGTTCTGAGGTCACTAGATGGCGCCATACAACCACACCTGGAAGCAATATCCCTGATGAGGCTCCAGGTGTATAAGAGGCATCTAATGACTTCCCTTTGATGCTGGAGCATTACCCTGCTGCTAGGCTTTTGTTAAACCTCCAGACTTGTGATGTTTCCAGTGTTCCTCCTGAGACTAACCTGATTCCCTCTGGAAACCTCCTTGTGTACTCTGGACCATCTCATGTTTGTACAGGATATTGGAACAAACTAGGAACTCAGAAGGTACTGATCAACCTTCTGCTGCTGTACTCTGGATCTAACCCATCTCCTTGCGCTCCAGGGTTCCTGAGATTTCCTGAATGACCATTCACTGTAAAGAAAAACACTGAATTGATTCTAGTGTGTCTGAGTTGTTGATATTCAGTCCTTGCATCAACAAAGAGATCATACCCTTCTGCTACACGACTGAGAAGGGAAGACAAAACCCTGAGCTACAAGACTCAATGTGCTTCTTAAAATGTAACAAAAGGAATGTTTTTTTTGTTGTTGTTTTAGTTTTTAAAGAAAATTGTTTTTGTTTTTTTTCCTTTTACAATACTGGTAAGAATTATAGCCTTTGTAAAAACTCAGTTTTAACATAACAATGTTTAATGACTTTGTAACATCTCTCTTTAGTGTAAAAAATAATTATTTATAATAAACATATAATAAAAGATATATTAAATAATACAGTGGTGTTTGAAAGTTTGTGAACCCTTTAGAATTTTCTACATTTTTGCAAAAATATGATCTAAAACATCATCAGATTTTCACAAAGGTCCTAAAAGTAGATAAAGAGAAGACAGTAAAATAAATGAGAAAATATACTTTGTCATTTATTTACTGAGGGAAATGAGCCAATATTACATATTTGTAAGTAAAAATATGTGAACCACTAGGATTAGCAGTTAATTTGAAGGTGAAATTAAAGTCGGGTGTTATAAATCAATGAGATGATGATCAGGTGTGAGTTTTATTTAAAGAACAGGGATCTATCACAGTCTGCTCTTCACAACTTGTTTGTGGAAGTGGATCATGGCACGAACAAAGGAGATTTCTGAGGACATCTGAAAAAGAGTTGCTGATGCTCATAAGGCTGGAAAATTTACAAAACCATCTCTAGAGTTTGGACTCAACCAATCCACAGTCAGACAGATTGTGGACAAATTCAGGAACTTCAAGACCTTACAGCGGTTTTTCCTACTTGGAAAGTTAAAGATTGCTGACAAACCCACACTTTAAAATCCAACATGGCTGACTTGTACATATAACGCTGTAAAAACCTAATTATGTTCATGTTGGGTAGTTCAGCTTCATCACTTCCACTTTCAGTTTTCTATAGATGTAGTAATGTTTCATTTTATAGACCTTTTTTGGTCAATAAAACCCAGTAAAATGTGTTCAGATGATTTAATCCAGTTTTTTTAATACCTATAATTCTTCCCACATAAACTCAAGGGCTGTGTCTCAATGGATAATCATGTAGCTTCCTCTGCTGGTGATACTGTTAGTGTGCACATGCAAAGATGTAGATATGGACAAACTTCATGCAACACCTAATATGATGTACCATAAATATGCTACAAGTTAAGAGTCCGTAGCTCAAAGTGTTGAGTTTTTTTTAAAACAAACTAATAAGTTTGGCATTTAATTTGGATTCATTTTATGCCACAATATAAAACACTTTCAATCCAGTCAGCAATTCCAAGAGCAACTTATAAGATACTGTGTGATTTTATTGTTCAATAAGCCTTATAATTCTGTTACACTGTGTAAGCGATCCACAGACAGATTTTTGACCCCTCTCACCCCGATACAAAAGTGAGTTGACCCCAGTGTGTAGCACTGTAGACGGTCTTTCACATCTTTGTTGCAGATTAAAAAAAATGCCCCAGAATGTACAAAACCTTTGTCACTGCAGATTTATTAATGACAAATGGAAATATAAAAAAATGAAAATAAAACGAATGGAAATAAACATGATGCTTAAACAATTAGATGTGTGCTGTATGGTGTAACGTGTGCACGACTTGTTTTCTCCAGCATTCAGCAACTCAGTTTTCCAGATCTGAAAGTGATTCACGCACATATGAAACAGTTTAGGGTCGTTCTGCGCAAAGACAACAGAGGAAACAAACGGTCACAATGATGAGGAGAATAATGCGAAACAAAGCATCTTTTTGCTCTAATATCTTCCGGATGTCTCTTTGTAGAATCTGACCCAAGGTGGCAGATTGACCAGGGTTAAAAAGTAATTGAAGTCTCTCATTAAAATTGCATCTAGTAAAATACATGATGACACAATTGTCTGCATCAAAGAAGAACAGCAGTCCATTTGTGTAATCTACATTCACCAGGATTTTCTCAGTGTACATGTTATTGTCTGCCTTTATACTCCAGATTTCATCACCGTGGTTCAATGGAAATCTTGTCCCCTGACGCACTGGTCCACTGACTACCGCCAACTCCCAGCCAGTTCTCCCATCGACATGAACCTCGTACACTCGTATCCCTCCAGAGGCATCTGTATTTAGAGGGATGCAAGTACGTGAATGTTGTGGAACTCCACTGCGATGTGAAGAAGTGTTGGGAGCTACGAGTTGATTCGTCTTTACACTGACTGTTTTTGCTCGACCTTTGCCTTTCTTTATGCTCTGTGTTGCAGCATTTATCTCCTTGACTTTGTTCAGTCTAGTTTTCTCAACATCCTCCTTCTTCATCCCCATGCGAGTGCTTTTGTTTACATACGCTTCTTCCAAATGGACTGTGTCATGATTGTCGTGTTCTGTGCACAGGGCGCAGGCATGAGTTTGATCACTCTTACAGAAGAACGTGAAAATCTGGTTGTGACTCTTGCAAATTTTCTCCTCCAACTTGTGCACAGGATGAGTTAGTTTGTGTGTTTTGAAAGCCGCAACTCTCAGATGAGGTTCTAAATGTGTGTCGCAAAACGATACCAAACACACCAAGCAGGTTTTCGAGGCTCTAACCTTGTTGTCAGGGCAACAGTCACATGGCACCTGACCAGGTTTTATAGCAGATGTGCTATTTATGTTCACACGATGTTTCCTGAACTTCTCCACAATCTCTTTGAGCTCTGTGTTGACGCTGACTTTGAGTTCTTTGCTGAACTTGTCATTGCACAGGGGACACTGATGTTGCTCCTTTCCCGCCCAGTGCCGGGCGATGCAGGCCTTGCAGAAGTTGTGTCCACATGGCGTGGAAACAGGATTGGTGTAGAGTTCCAGACAGATGGAGCATGTGAACTGATCTTCAGACAGAAGACTGCTGTATGTGGCCATACCTAAAAAGGAAGTTTAACTGTATTAGAGAACCATGTGTTATTTTGTTTTTAGAGGCTCCAATAAGAGGAACAGACTGAGAAAGAACAGAAAAAGATTTTTAAAATAGGTTGATTATAATGGGACTGTGTAGCTGAGTGAAAATGTTAAACGCATCTAATCCTACGATGTTTAATAGGTGTGTCTATATTTAGACAAGATTGGCAAGAACATTTAAACAAAGCAGGGTTGGGAGTTGAACTCATTATTTTTGACATCATCAATGCACAACTTGACTTAAAGCAATAGATTTTTTTTTTTTTTTTTTTCAAATGAGTTTCCAGACAAGGGAATGACCTCAGTTTGAAGGAATGGTTTAGTTCTGGTGGACTTACAAACCAGAAGCTCGTCTGAGTGAAGCTAAGACCAAAGCTGCCATTTTAAAACCCCAATCTCAGAAAATTTACAGCAGTTCATGTGAGCACAACTATATTATCACCATCATTAATTTCACATTACATTGTTATTTACAATTAACTCTGTAGTTATTTGTAAGGACAAATATAGAAACGGCGAACTTTTGCACTTGCAGGAATAGTAAATGTTTGAATAAATGTCAAAAGTGACATTGATAGTGATGTAAAGGATATTAAAATGGTATTTGCATGAATTTTTATACCAGTTTTTATGCTGGCATAATAATAAAAATAAATTAGCTTGTCAATCTTGTCAAAATTAAACTACATCTCCCAGCTGAGGTTGTTCAAAGAGTTCTGCACAACAGATAAAATAATGCTCATAATCTTTCCACAGAAACCCAATTCAAAAGAGCTGAATGATCATTTTAGTTTTGATCTCTTTAATGTTGCATCGTGTCTAAGTGAGGAATGTAAACTCAACATTGAGACTGTGTCTGTACTGAAGTGTCTTGTGGCTGTAACGCTTAGAATTCAATAACTTCTGACCGGTGTGTAAACTTTAACCTTGAGACTGTCATTATTACAAGATGTGATAGGTTCAGAAATAATCTCCTCAAAGTTCTCCCCTAAACTTTATAACACTTGAACAGTACATTACCCATCCTCTACATATTTTTACTGCAGTATAAGACGGCTTTAACAGATAATGCTGAAACTTTTTAGTCAGAGAAGCATATATGTAAAACTATGTACATATTTAGAAAAAAATGAAGGAACTGTTACTTGGTCTGCTTATGAACGTTTTAATTAAGTATTTGCTAAATCACTTCGTTTATGAGAAACTAACAAATATAACTTGTTAAAGTTAGAGAGTTGATCTCACCTGATGTGAAGTTGTGCTCCTGTGTCTCTGCTGTGTGTGAACAAACTGTTTACCAGCCTGACAGTGAATCAAAAGTTTGGTTTCATTTCTCAGTAAATGATGCAGTTATGCATTTCCTACCTGTGTACGGTTTGCAAATAAAAGTAATTAATATAGTTTGAGTTAATGTAAAAAAAAATGCTGTGGTTATTATTTACAATTATGATCAGAATTATAATTTTAAAATATGTTTAACAGGATAGTTGAAAGTGTTGAAAAAAGACAACTGAATCTGCCTTTGAGCTTCTCTTACTTTATGCATCTTATCGTCTGATTGGCTGGATTTGTCAGGAGTGTGTTCAGTTTTCCACCCGCCTGTGTTTCTTTAGCTCTCCCCAGTGTTTTTCCACTCACTTGGTTTCTGCTCCTGTCTCTCCCACTTTCACCTGATCCTCAGTTTCTTTCCACAGGTGTACTCATTGTGTATCTTTAAAAGCCTGTCAGTTTGTCACTGTGTTTTCCATGGATTATGTTTTTCTGCCGTCATACTCTGTCCCTCTGTACTCCTTAGTTTTGTGTTTCTGTATTTATTTCATAAATGGTTATGCTTTATTTTACCCTTGAGTTCCCCGTGTCTGTCTGCACATGGGTTCAACTCTCAGAACTTGTTAGGATTAATGTTCGGTTTGGTGATTCATGTGAGATTAATACCAGGAAATCGTGTTTACTGCCCTTCCCCTTTGGGATGTTTTACAGTTCAAGCTCAGTGCAGTTCTTAATAAGCTATAAGCACACATTTCTTAATGTTGAGCCACAAACCAGGAGCCCTTGAACTCCTGAATTGTATTAATGGCTACAGGGATTTGGTATTAATTTCTTAAAAACAGCGTTGTGTCGTCAGCTTGCTGGGTTCAAATTACCTATGAATTAATAATGAAATCATGTAACATGTTTTAACATATTTGTTCCTTTTTGTTTTCAGAAAGAACTCAGTTTAAGGGTCATCACAACTCTGTGGAGCTCTGGGGGCAGAAATGATTCTTGCACATCAGACGGTCGTCAGAACGGTCTGCAAATTCCAGCACCGTCCTTGGAGATGAAGTCAGAGTCAGAGATTTATTTGTCATACACACCCCATGTGTGCAGCACGGTGGCGCAACTGGTAGAGCTGCTGCCTCTCAGCGAGCAGGTCCTTGGTTCAAACCCCGGTCCAGGGGCCTTTCTGGGTGGAGTTTGCATGTTCTCTCCGTGCATGCGTGGGTTTTCTCCGGGTACTCCGGTTTCCTCCCACAGTCCAAAAACATGCATGTCAGGCTGATTGGTAACTCTAAATTGTCCCTAGGTGTGAGTGAGAGAGTGAATGGTTGTTTGTCTCGTTTGTCTCTATGTGGCCCTGTGATGGACTGGAGACCTGTCCAGAGTGTACCCCGCCCCACGCACAGTGATTGCTGGACATGGGCACCGGCGACCCCCGTGACCCAAAAATGGAATAAGCGGGTAAAGATAATGGATGGATGGACACACACCATGTGGTACATGTGGTGGAACAAGATAATGTACACAGGGTCCCAGTTACATCCCACAACAAAATGTAAAAGTAAAACAGTAATAAGATTTAAGATATAAACTAAGAAAAACATCAACTAAATGTACACTAAGCACTAAAAGCATAAAAACAGTAAAATCAATACGCCGAACAGCAGCACGAACATGAGTCTGTGTGAGCAGATGAGTACGGATGAATACACAGTAACATGATGTGATTTTTTTTAACAGTGATTATTTTGGTTAGAGATTCATGAGTCTAACAGCCTCAGGGTAGAAGATGTTCCTCAGTCTAGTGGTTCTACACTTAATGCTCCTCAACCTCCTTCCTGAGGGGAGCCAGGCAAAAAAAGTGTGCTGGGTGAGTGGAGTCCTTCATGATGCAGGTGGCTCTCTTCCTGCATCTGGAGGTGTAAATGTCTGTGATGGTGGGGAGGCTGACTCCCACAGTCTACTGTGCAGCCTTCACCACTCTCTGCAAAGCTTTTCTTTCTGCAGCTGTGCAGCCTCCATGCCACACGTTGATGCTGGAGCACAGGATGCTCTCCACTGCACACCTGTAGAAGGAGGTGAGGACTGAGCTTCCCAGACCAGCTCGCCTCAGCCGTCTGAGGAAGTAGAGTCTCTGATGAGCTTTCTTGATCAGGCTGGTGGTGGTGTTGTTGTCCCAGCAATTATATTTATATTTATAGTTATATTTATCGTTATTGCTCCATGAAGTCACAAAAGCTGCAATTTTTTGAGAAGGGTTCGGTTCTGTCTTCTGCCTTTTCCCTTCCTGATGTATTTTTATGTTGTCCATCACCTTCACTACTTGTGAGAAAAGATCATCAAGATTTGCTCAGGAACAATTTTTGTGAAAGCCAAGTCAAAGAAATACAGTAATTAAAACAATTAAAAGGTTTTCTTTCAAGATTTCACAGCGTTCAGATAAGCCTCAGACTGCTTATCACCTGCCAACTATTCCCATCAGCCGTCTTCCTGCCAACCCCGCTAACGTCTCACCTTGGTCATCTTGGACCAGTGCCTGGCACAATCCTACAAGGACCCCCTGGACCATAACTGTTTCCTTCATGGAGATTTGGAGACTTGATCTGCCTCCAAAGTCCTGGGAAGATGGAGCAACAGAGGGCTGTAGTTCCTGACTAGATCCAGAAATGGGCAGAGAATCTGTTGAGGGCATCAATGTACAAAGTAATACATCTCTCAACCAAATTCCAGTTAACTAGTTATCAAATACAGTAGTTACATTTTATCTAAATTGTCGTGCATATAAAACAAAATGAATTATGTCCCAATTATTCTTTTGTTTTAGACAAGAGAATCACTTTATTTTCCCTTATTGCTTAATCAAGTCAAAGTATTCATTCAATTATGGTACTTCTTCAAACTAGTTTTATCCAAATTCCTGTTATTTGTGTTCTAGATTTGTATTATTGTTGTTCATTATTTTATTTGTAATTAATTATTTTTGCAATAAGACTTAGAAGACAAATCCAGTCTCCTCATTTGGAAGAATATTCGTTTGTTACGGTATAGAATTCCCTGTAATTAATGGATTCTACTTCATTGACTGAGTTTAGATTATTAAAGGGTGACAATATTATTTAAACTGTTATTGGGCAGTAAACTGACCTGGTGCTTTAAGTTTAATGAGTGCAAATATATATATGTGTGTAGGAAAGTGAAAAGAAAGTGTCACCCTTCTTCCTTCATCATTCATACCTGCTACAGTCATATACCATTAATAAATGCATGACTCGATGTGAAGCATAAAATAATATTTTAAAGTGGTAATTAAACATAATGAACTGTTTTGTTCCCCTTTTTAACTTTACATGGAGCTAATAAATCCTAAAAGAACAAAGCAGCACATGGAGACAAATATCTTTGTACTTCTATAGCAGTTCAAACATTGTCAGTCTTTCTCATAAATACACAAGTTGGAACATGTTTTATTTCAGTTGAATACATGAAATACATGAAAAGTGCAGTGATTAATAGAAGAGGCAATTAAAGGTAAAAATAGACACAATAAGTAAAGAATAACAGATGCAGATGACTAAACTGATGATGAGTCAGAGGCGAAATGATGAAAGGGAGAATTTGCAAAGAGCAAAGAACAGAAAAGTGGGCAATGAATAAAAAACACATAACTAGAGAAGGTTAGAGAAGGTGGGCCTGTGATCTGAAGG